CAACGTGTAAAAAGACAGTACAAGTCATTATAATCCGTAATTATGTCCCCACTGGATGCAACAAATGCCTCGTTTATAATGGGTTTTAATGTTTTTGTCTCATCGCTCCGGCCGGGACAAGGCATCAAAATATGGCAAGGGGCGTAACATTTCCAAAGAGCGGGACATTCTTGAAGACAGACAGTATTAAAAACTCAAAGCCGCGAAACGGAACTTAATCCGCTCCTGACTGCATGTTTTCTGCGTGCGAGGTTCGAGTGGAACACGGAGAAGCATAGACTGGCGTGAACCTCACAGTAAAAGCCCAACGGTTAGTTGCATATTTGTGTATTTTAGTTTAGTTTCCATGGTCCTAATAAAGTTACTATTATTAAAACTTTATTGAAAAAATAATAATAATAAAATAAATAACAAAGAGTGAAAAATTTAAGGGGGTCTGAATACTTTCCGTACCCACTGTATACTGTATGTTGAGTATGCTGAAATAAAATATGTTTAAGGTTTTCAAATATATTTTAAATTATTTCAGGTAAAAGTTTATTTTATTTCAAGTAACAAAAAATAGTTTTTGCTTTTTTATGGTTTTAGTTTCTTTTAGTTAACTACAATAACCCTTGTCTACACCGTAATATAAAGCAACAAACACCCCATTACAACCAATCGAAGCCGTATGCATTTGCATACATGCAAAACAACACCACTCGCTAACTAGTCTTTCAGTTTTGCTGTCACATTGTGTAACTCTCTTGCAGTGTGTCTACAGAGAAATGGATGTCTGTATATACGGCTTCACTGCTCTAAGCAAATACTTTCTAGTAGATTTCCTCGTGTCTGCAAGGAAAGACCAAGAAAGAAACAGCAAGACTACATTACCAGGGCCCATTCATTAAGTTTGTAAACAGGCTTAAGTCCATAAAATAGAAAAGACATAACAGCATGAACACAGATCTAATGTCAAGCTTCACTGGCAATCATTTTTGTCATATACAACTGAAAACTAAATATCCATAGGCAATTCATCAAAGCTCATTGAAATTTTGAGAGTTTGATGCATTGACACTTAAGTCACTGCTGAAGGAAAGTACTTTTAAGGTCCACTGTATGCAGTATTTATGTAAATGCATGAGGCATTCAGGAAGGCTGTTCAGCTCTGTTGTGACTGTGACATATCACCATGCTATTTCTGAACAACGCCAGCATCTGGAAAGGAATGAATTCCTTAAATAACATGTCCTTTGACTAATACATTTCCATGACTTGTCCAGGAATTATCCAGTCATTTGTTCCAGAGATGAGCTGGACAAGAAAAAAAAAAAAAACCACATTCTGCACTGTATTTTTTGCACTACTCTTGCTTCTCACATGTATAAATAACAAAATCTCATGTGTATTGCTTTAACCCTGTAAAGCCTGACATATGAAATAATCTATTTTTATATGGAACCGTTTAATGAACCTTTAAACATTAAAAAAAAAAAATCTAAAAAAGTGAAATCTAAAATAGTTAGAATATGGAGCTCATCTTCAAGGAGGAAAAAAAAACACCTCAGTTTTATTCAGAGCCCCAAACAATGTGCAATTTAGTGCAGATGCTGATATTTATATGGCCAAAAAATATGATGAAATTCTGATAGCTTGTAATGTAAATCAATGAGATCTTTATAACAGTAGAGCAAATATTTCCATAAAACGACAAATATCAGTCGTCACTCTATATCTTCAACAATATGTCTTACTAAGATGATATTTAAATGATCAAAACATATAATGCAATGCAAGATAATGATGATTGAGAGATGAACAAATAAACGCTTCTCAAAAGCCTGATGATCATATTTGACTCACTGATTTTTCTAAAATGATTTATGGAGAATCAAGTTAACCTGAGCTGCTTCAGTCCAGTAAGTGTTCATCTGGAAATATTACTAACAATATCAAAGTTATTCTTACATTTATTTTATAAAAATCAGTAAAGATTTGACAGCAAAAAGACCACGAGCTGAAGGTGGAAGTTTGTACAATTATACTAAAAGACCTTTTACTTATTAAACAAACTATCAATCAGACGACAGAAGGCATGGAGGAGATTGTGTGTGACAGGTTTTTCAGTAAAGTTCTGATCATGTTGATAATCTAGATGCTTTAGTAGGCTTTATAGGGTTAAAATATCTTCAAATGAAGCTTCTCTGACAGACCTGGTCAATGACAAAGTCCAGGGTGTTGAGAAGCAGGAACCCGCGTCCGCGCACCAGATACTCTCCCAGCGCCACCATGTGACTCTCCTCCTCGTCCTCGGCCCGCTGGGCCACCGCACTACACAACTGGTGCACATCCGTCAGGAACTCCCGTGCCAGCGTGTTACTTGCCCCACTCATGTCTGAGCTGATGGAGGAGAGAAAGCGAGAGCATGAATACATGTATATCATCTGCTAGAACCTGCTAGAGCTCTGCTTTAGTTTCACATACATTGCAGTTCTCTTTTTGTATAAATCAACAAGAAAATAAAAACAAGTGAAACTGCTCAGGTGGTTTCAGGTCCCATAAGTACCTCTATATAGACTGATTTAGATACAAGAAAATCTACTATCCTTATAACCTAGTGTGCTTCTACTGTTTTAATATTTGCATGTAGTTAATTATGCAGTCTGTCTATCTGTCAACAGTCTTTGCAGATCAGATGCTGCCTATGTAAGGAGCTTAATATTTAGCAAAAACACACATTGGCATGTTACTGACAATTTAATTTATAGTAGTAAGCATGAGCGCTACTCTTCTGCACAGTGGTAACCTAAACATTTTTCTAATTTCCAAAACCTCTTCTAAATGTTCAAAATAACTCACCATTGCAAGTATACAACTCTAACATGTCATTTTCTTTCATTAAAGGGGTCATATGATGCTGCTAAAAAGAACATTATTTAACGAAGCACACAGCGTCTTCACGACATGGCGGCAGCGGCAACAATACTACAGCGAGAATAAAAGTTACGCCTTCTTTCTTTGCGTGAACATTTGGGCGGCGTTATGCAAATCTTCCCACATAGTGAGGTAGATATGTGGGGGCGTGTTCGAACGAGCCGTTTTAGGTAGGTGTGGCTGACTCTTAACTTTTATAAAGAATATCTCTCTGGATTTGAGACTTTAGTCTTTGCAAATTTACAGATCTTCTTTATGCACCAAGAGCTTGTAACACTCCAAAGAGAAAGGAAAAAATTAAATTGCATCATATGACCCCTTTAAAAACACTTAAAATGACCATTTTTTTCAAAATGTCTCCCTCTCGATGCGATCCCTTGCAAAGCATGCTGGGAACTACACATCCACTGTTCAGTTTGTTGTGTCAACAAAATGTATTCATGTAGTAACACAAAATGATTACATTTGTACAAATTTAAGTGGACTGAACATAATGGAAATATTGTTTGGAAATTTTGTTGTTTCTGATCATTTTAACCAAGTAATTTGAACAAGCATTAAAAATATTTTTTTGCATGCACCCAAAAAATTGCTTGTTCAGAGAACTTAATTAAATTGAGGAAAACTTTTCCATGCAATTAGTTCAGGTCCATACAAACAAGTTCAATTAAACAAATAATGTTTTGTTGAACCAACTTAACATTATTTGTTTAACTGAACTTGTTTAAGTCTTGTTGTATGGACCTCAACTAATTGAGTGGAAAAGATTTCCTTAATTTAATTAAGTTCTCTGAACAAGCTATGTATTTGAGTGTAGGTTTTGGAAAAAAAAAAAAACAAAGTGATCAACATCGCAATATCTCACAAAGGCTGGCAGCCCATTTGACCCCACCCGCCCATTCTTATCAATAATGCAGCTAACCAATCGAACTTAATCAGTGAAATGTAGGTTATGGTATGCACACACACTATGACTATGTGAGGCCTGCCAGGAACTACAGTGATGTTACGCAACAAGATGTTAGGCTTCATAAACACGGAAAGCAGATCCTGTCATCAGACACTGCTGCAGCGTACTGTATCGCATCAACCAGTTTTTCCATCCACCACATCAACCGCTGGACAGGATTTCAGCTGTCTCACTTTACCAAACCACAGACAGCAGAACAAACGGCCACAATAAGCGCAACAATTCCCAGACATTGATTTAACCTCATTTCTTTGAAGACGTTAAGGATGATTGCACTAATTATCCATCAAATTAAACCCCAAAAATCAAAAGAAAAAAGATTTTCACAATTTATATTTTACATAAAGACAATGATTATATGTATATTAGGCTTGCACGAGTTGGAGAAAACAATCCAATTACAATTTTCCTGATAAAAACAGTATTTGCAATTTAAAATGCATTTTCTACAAAAAGAAAAAAAAAATCCAGGCCAAAATTTTGTGATGTCAATATGACAATATTATTATTATTATTATTATTATTATTACTATTACCAATAATAATAAATGTTATTATTTTTATTTAAAAAAAATCAAATATTAATATATTATATTTCACGGTTAAATAAAAGTGTATTTACAAAAACAATATAATAATAAAAAAATTATAATTTTATTTTAATCCGTAATTACAAGTGTAAAATTACACTACTAAATAATTTGTCTTAATTGGTCTCTTCATTTTCAAACTTTAAAACCATAAATATAAATTATTATTTTTAGTTTCATTTGAGAAAAAATACCGTCAAATACACGCTGAAACTAAAACTAAACCTGAAAGACCTTCACGACAAACCGTCAAAATAAAAGTCCGGTTTAACTTGAAATTATATGATTGAATATGTTACTACTGTATACTACAACGCAATTCTCAAAGTAATAATAATATTATTATTTTAAAGGAATATCATACAACCAAGTTATTTTTTTATTATTAATTTATACAGTTCTGTTGTGTAGCATCATGTCTGATAAAATAAAATAAAAAAATAAAATAAATAAAAATGCAATGTTTTGTTGTAAATTGATTTTCATTTGATTACATTTTAAAAGATTGGTTAAATTGTTAGTTTTATTAATTCCTTTCACTAGACACCATTTTTTAATGATAAATTTGGCACTGAATCATAAAACACGTAATCCATAAGAAATCAAACGGAAAACACAGAATTTAGGGGAAAATAAAATGCATTTTTGCATAAAATGCAAGATATCAAAATATTAGAGAAAAAAACATGTTTTTTTAATATATATATATATATATATATGTATATGTATTGGAGTATATCAAACAAGTAGCTCTTGAGACTATTTTATCCCTTCAGGGAGCCCTCACTCACAAAAACGTTGGAGACCCCTGCTTTAGAAGTATTTCTCAGTGTTATTTCATGTTAACTAAACTAGTTTACTAATGTTAACAAATGAAAACTTGTGAAGTGTTACTGAGGTGTCTTACCTTGGTCAAAACCAAAAATATTAAGTACTAGTCATTTTTTTCCAAGTAATATTTTCATATTGGGACAATAATAGATTATGAAAGCTTGTTTCCGACACAGGATTAAATAAATAAATAAAGTAATTGCAACATTTTTTTCTCAGAATTACAAGTTCCTATCTCACAATTCTGAATTTGTATCAAAAGATGTAAACTAGCATTTCTGAGAAAATCTGAACTGTGTGAAAAAAAAGTCAAAATAACCTTTTGTTATTTTTTTTTCCCCATGGCGGAAACAGGCTTCGATAATAGACAGTATATTAGTTAATATAGTTTATTTCAAGTAGTTATCTTTTTCTTCTTCTTCTTTTTTTTTTTAAAACACAGGCTTATATAAACTAAGACAATGAAACACTAAGAAATTGCTTTTGAAATACAGTGCTTAAATGTATTTGACCACCTGTCATAATAAAGAGAAAACACAAATATATTAGGAATCTGTCAAAAACTCGTAAAAAAAAAAAAACTACTGTCATTTATTAGGCAAATAACAAACTGAAACAACTAAATAGTCTTTATTCACACATAACCAAAAAAACTTATATATTTTATTTTTATTTTGTATGGCCTCCTTTGGCTTTGATAACAGCTTGCATTCTTGCTGCCATTGTTTTTATGTACTTTTTCAAAATCTCTGTTGTTATTGACTTCCAAATAGTTTCTTAGTTGTTCCCAAAGACTTGCTTTTCATTAAACGTTTGTGCGATCTATCTTTGAATCCATTAAATCCCAACAATAACAATATTTTAGCATTAGAAACACTACTGTATATTAACCATTACTGAAACATAAAAATGATTTTGGTAATCACCAGTTCTGTTAGTTTAGGGCAGCTGTGGCACAAACCTTACATTGGGTGGTGGTCTAATACTGTGCAATACACACATGTAAATATCCTATATTATGTATATGACACTACACTCCCATTTTATTATCATTATAATTGCTATGCAAGTTAGGGTTGGGCCGATAGACGATGCTGATAGACATCACGATGTTGAGCCGGCATCGTGATCCCCCCCATACCCCCCGCAATCCGCCACATCCCAATACCGTGTTCGGAAAGAAAATTACGTGTATACGGAACCCCTAAGGGAGCCGCTATTATACCTGGCATTGAAACTGCTTTTGAATGCACAATCGCTTTTTAGTTTCACTTTCACTTTCAAGATTCGCGATCGCACGTAGTCTGTTTATAGTATGGAGCGGCAGTACTTACCACACATTTCACAAGATTATATGTTTGTCAGTGGTGCTCAGGATCTGCAAATTATTCGCCATCGTCCTCAGTCATCTCTCCTTACTCTTTTTATGTGGTAAGTGACATTTTATTTACTGTAACAGGCAACCGTTACACTGTGTCTACACCGGACGCGACAGTTGTCGTGTCGCGCCGCACCGTATCAGCTAAAGTCTGTCTACACTGGACGCAACAAAGCGACCGTTGAAAATCATTTGAAATTTGTGTCAGCACCTCATAAATAGAACGCGGCAGCAGTTTACTTTCGGGAATTTGTCGTGTCGCACCTCGCCGCATCCAGTGTAGACAGCATCACTGATTATAATAAGTTCTATACACTGATCTATAATGCATCTCTATTATAGATCAGTGGTTCTATAGTATTTTGCCGCGCCGCTCGCATCTGGTGTAGACACGGTGTTAGGAATCGTTATTTGTTTTCCGTGACTTATAAAGATTCACGCTTCGGGCATAAATCCAGTTTTAGTTTCTGGGTGAACTATTGCTTTAACAAATTAATTACTTTATTATCTCACTCAAAGCAGATAAAAGATTTGAAAGGGTCAAAGGGTTTCATATGCATTCACATCGGACGGGTTGTAGCTTTTTCCATTTCCTGTGTTTTGGCTAAAGTTCCAGGAACTGCACATGATCATGAGATAAAGATTAGGAGCTGAGAAAACACACTTAATTGAGCACACGGCATATAGCCACTGGGCCAGACAAAGAAAGCCTTTTATCACTCGCCTCAAACAATCAGCTTCTCTCAACACAATGCTAATTAACATGAGCTCTAGTCACTGGTTGCTATGATTTTATTTCATCTAAACAAGGTTCAACTGACTGATGGCGGATCTGTAATTGAGTAAATTACACAAAAAACACTGATCAGGAACTGTGATCTGTGCTTAAAATATCTGACAAAGATGCAGTGAGTCAGTGTTTTTATTTCAAACAGATGAAATACAGTGAAACAACAAAGACGTTATTCAAAATTCTGCTTGACAGTCGTGATCAAATGAAACAATAATTTTCAAAATTTTGGGGTAACTATTTCTTTGAACACAAACTGTCAACTGAAACAAGAAAAAGAAGTCGGCTTACCAGAATTTGAGTGCATCCTTTGCTCTCGGGTCACTGAGTTGTCGCACACAGTGAAACGTGCACAGAAAACTCTCCAAGCACTGAAGACTGATCTGAAATCAGAAGAAAACAACAACATACATTTCTGTAATAAATGAGATTTTACTGATGAACTAGATGTTTGCATTTTCTGAAGAAAGCACGGTTTGTAGCACAGGACGAGTCAGGACACTCGGTTAGGAGTCTGATCAAATATATAACTTTGAATGATAGTAATAATAGGGCTGATTTAATTGAGCAAGCACTAGGAAAAATTCTCTTGCAAGGGAGCTTTGCATTGTGAACTTTAGAAGTACATCAAACGAGCAATAAAATTGTTTTAAATATATTCTTTGCGTATGTGTTATATTTCCACACAAATGTATCAAAATGAGACACGCATTGCCTTTGGTCAGTTTTGCTCAAAACACCCAAAGACGTCTCTGTTTCTCCATTTACTGGAACAGACACAGAATAATCACATTACATGGAGCAACTTCCACTCACATGAGCGAGTGAGTAAGAGGCCAGATGCAGGGAAATATACTACAGCTGCAGCTGCTGCTGCATCTACATGAGTGTGGCTGTGCCTCAGATCACATAATACCCAAAATAAAAAGTAATAAAACAATATAAATAAATAAATATTCTTCTTCATTCATTGTCATTATGATTATTTATTTATTTTATTTTATTTATTTATTTTCAAAATTGGGTTGAAACATGACCCGTGACAAATTCTTGACAGATTTTGTGGGATTCATCCATATTATTATGGATAATAATCACATGAAATCTGTCAAGATTTCCGTGAAGGGTCATAATTTAAACCAAAATGTAAAAAAATATATAATACAAAATAAATAAATAATATTAATAGTAATACTAGTAATAACAATAATAAAAATTGCTGAATCTCTGAAAAACCTGTCAAAAAATTGTCAAGGGTCATATCTGACAAAACCTGATACTGTATATATATATATATATATATATATATATATATAGCCTATATAAAATTTAATTTTTTAAAATTTTTATTACTGTTAATGATCCATTTTTTCAATTATAAAATACCTATATATCAGAAATCACAGGCACGTCTGGAATGTCTAATCTTCCCAGAATTTCCATCTGCAGACGGCCGGTCACCTGACCTTTTTAACTAGTAACCATGGGGGATGTGTGTTAATGCGGTCACAGGCTCGACAGCAGCTTTGACTGATCCTCCAGCTGTCAGACTGCACGCACACGTCTGTGGGAGCCGCTTCACTAATCCACAGCTTCCACAAAAGCATTTCACATGGACAAAAACCGGCTTTCATCAAAAAAAATAAAACAGGTAACAATGGCTGCCTGAGATGCTTTGATCAATCCTTAAACTGCTGCACTGACATGCTTCATCACTTACAAACTATCATTACTGAACTACTGAAATTATAACGTTTTGATTAATAATCATGGCAAAATATACAACCAAACAGGTTGCAAAAGGGCCGAAAATTTCCAGTAAATTTCTGAAAACTTTCCAAGGTTTCCAAAAATTTCCATAAAATCCTGAGAAGTTTCCAAAAATTCTGGAAATTTCCAAAAATTCTGGAAATTTCCAAAATTTATCGGAAATTTTCCACCCCTCTGCCACCATACACCACTTAGTGAATCAATTTCTTTTGTTAAAAATTAAGTGCCAAACTAGGGTTGTGACGGTGAGGAAATTTTCCCACCGGTTAATCACCGTGTGACAACACGGATAATACTGGTATCACCGTGGGGGCAGGGGTGTTCCCTCTTTTCCTTGTTTTCCTTCGCTTTTAAAAGCGGCATGCGCATTTTACTTTCACTTTCAAATAGTGGCAATTCGGCGTAAAGCAATAGTTCGTTTTCAGTTAGTTTGAATTTTCCCTCTTTTCCTCGCTTTCCTTCGCTTTTAAATAGCTTAAAAGTGCCGTGCGCATTTTACTTTCACTTTCGAATTAGCGGCAATTCGGCGTCAATGGCGCGCCGCGCTGCATCCAGTGTAGACAGCATCACTGATTATAATGGGTTCTATAGTATTTTGTCACATCGCGCAGCCGCTCGCGTCCGGTGTAGACATGGTGTCAAGACGCACCATCACAAAAATACACGAGTTATGTGAAAAGGAGATTTTAATTTGATTACATTAATGTTTAAGTTGAGATTTACAAGAAATATTGGTCACAATTTATTTTAAGATCCAATTCTCACCATTAACTACGACTTTTGCCTCAAACTCCTAATTTGCTGCTTATTAATAGTTAGTAAGGTAGTTGTTAAGTTTAGGGTATTGGGTAGGATTAGGGATGTAGAATATGGTCATGCAGAATATGTACTTTATAAGCACTAATAAACAGCCAATAGGTTAACAATAGGCATGCTAATAAGCAACTAGTTAATAGTGAGAATTGGACCTTATACTAAAGTGTTAACGAAATATTTTAACTGCTACTATGTAAAGGGAATACTGCTGTAAAAAAGCACCTTATTTGTTTAAAGTGTTTGCAAACTAAATGTTATTGCACTTTTGTTCATACAGCAGTACTTTTAAAATAAAAGTGCGCAATACAGTACTTTTTAATTTCGGCATAAAGCAATTGTTCGTTTTTAGTTCGTTTGAATTTTCCCTCTTTTCCTCGCTTTCCTTCGCTTTTAAATAGCTTAAAAGTGCCGTGCGCATTTTACTTTCACTTTCGAATTAGCGGCAATTCGGCGTCAATTGCTTGAATGTGACAACAAAAAACAACGTCAAACTCACTTTAGCCTATATATAAAACACAGAACTTTTATTAACAAAACGAATAAAAATACACCATGCTATAGGGCAGTCTATGCCTAAAATAAAATAACAAATAACTTACAAAGTTTAAATAGGTATACAAAACTGGAAATAAGTAAACACGTAGCCTATAATATATAACCAAATAAATAAGAAAAAAACTTCCAAAATCACCTTAGATAAACGGCAAAAGTCAACAGGCTTTTCAAAATCCAAAATACTGCCAAACAGGAGCTTTTGAATTTCGTTTCGAAACTAAATCATCCGCCATCGTCTTGTCTGTCTCACCTCCCTCTTCTTGTCAGTCAGCTCGACTCACTCTCCTCACTGGATAAATTAAATCCGATCTGTGATGCGACTGTTGTTCGGCACGCTGCATTGAGCAGCCGCGTTCAGTTTTTAATGTCTGTTCGTTTACTGAACTAAATTATTTGTATAACTATATAAACGGTGGGGGTCGATGCCGCGGTGGGCAAGTGACGTTACCGGTGTTGCAGCTTAACAACGGTATCACTGTCAGCACCGTCTATCGCGGCAAGCCTATGCCAAACCAATAAAAACAAGTTATAAAAGTAATAAAAGTTATTGTACTCACGGAATTAAATTATTCTGAACATTAATTATTAAACTTATTTAATCACAAACATGATGTCTCTTCTGTGTGAATCTCAAAAATAACTGTCAAGAACACAACAAAGTCATCTTTCAGGCCTAAAATTTTAAAATGTGCATAAAAACAGCACTTTTTTCAGCATTTTATCCCGTATTTTCTATTCTCTGCATTATTCAGGAGTTATTGTGATAGAAATCATCAATCATCTATGAAAATTACTGTTTATGTCTAAAGCTTCAATGATTCAAGTCAGTTACTCAATTTCCTACAGACTAGACCCGTTTCAACAGCTCTGTACAAGCATAAAAAAACATCCTAGTTTTCATGTTCAGTCACCTCAAATGACCCCTCATAATAATTTTCACTTAACAAAAGCTGTGGCTGTGCCTCAAATCACATACTATCTTTTCCTAAATGGATAAATCCCACAAAACCTGTCCAAGAACATGCCTGGGTCATATTCCCCTCACCCAACAAACAAACAAACAAACAAAATGTATGAATTTCATGAAACCTATCGAGAACTCGTCAAGATTCATATTTCAACCCAAAAATAAATGAAGAAAATATTCAAACAAATAAACAAAAAAAACAAATAAATAAATAATATTTATGAATCTAAAAAAAAAAACAATATGTATGAATCTCATGAAACCTATCAAGAACTTGTCAATGGTCAGATTTCAAATAAAAAATTAATGAAGAAAAAACTTCAAAGAAACAAACAAATAAATAATATGTATGAATCTCATAAAACCCATCAAGACATTGTCAAGGGTCATATTTCAACCCAAAAATAAATAAAGGGAAAGAAAGAAAGGAAGAAAGAAAGAAAGAAAAAAAGTGGATGAAACTCACAAAACCAGTCAATAATTTGACATATTTCAATCCAAAATACATAAATACACACAAAGGTGAGTAAACTATGACAGAATTTGCATTTTTAGATAAACTGTTCCCTTAAAATATTCTGAAATATCCCAAAAAGGCAAGTCACGGACCACAAGCATCAGCCTATTTGAAACGGTTTAACTCACTTTAATCAAGTGTCCTTACACTTTGTGGGTAGTAACAAGGTTTCAAGGCAGGGTTATTGAAGATGGCAGAGGTCATGACCTTCTGCAAGCTTCAGACACTCACCAGACAATCAGGGTCCCACTATCTGAATCAGAGCAGAAGATGATGGTGAGGAACTCAATGGACAGCGTGAGGCTGGAAACACGGGACACAGGAGAGAAAGAGACAGATAGGATGAGATGAACAGAAGATGAACATGACAGGAAAACAAAAATTAAACAGAAGGACAGAGAAACATGAAGGCAAGGAGGATGCAGCTCTAACTAGTTTAAGAGAGAGAGAAGTTCATGCAGAATCAAATCAAGGTTCAATCTGACTGAAAAAACAGATCATGGGATGCAAAGTTCCTCTGCTCACAGGGATCTGTTACTGTCACTGATCTTTGCTAATAGACACTCAGTTCCACATACAGATTTTTGAACCAATCACCAGAGCTGTAAATGTCATGTGACAAATCACTCTGGAGATGCAGGAAAATGAAGTCAACACTGAAAGGCTCTCAACTTGAACAAACACAGTCTCACACCCTCACTACAGTAACTACAGTATCATGAGCCTTGACATAAAAAATAAAGGAAAATGTAC